CCCCCCCCCCTTTATTTCTGGAATGTTTTCATTGAAAAAAACCATCAATCAAACTTACTGGCTTTTAGTAATCTTCCTAAATTCAGGAAGAGATGGGTCTAGTTCAAATTGTGACTATCAGATACATCTTTTATAGCAAATTAACCAAGTTCAGTTAAAAAAATTTTTTCTTAGGATCTCCTAATAATTTCAAAATTTCCAGGTTTCTAGCCAGAAAAAAAATGCTGCCTGCAATACCGATAACAAATACACACACATTATGCAACTGCCTGTTTATTTAGTGGCACCAGTTCTGCAAACTAGAGATTTCTACTTTTCATCTCACATGTAATTTGCAACCATTCACAGGCTGAATGAAATTTCTCCAACGGACTTGAAAACAAAAAGTACACTCTTAAAGTTAGAACTGAACTCACTTATTTTCTTTGGGCCAGGAAATGGTATATAATACAAAATATTCATTTATGGAATTTCTTTAAAAGTTTGGATCACATAAACTGCAAAGAGTGGGTGAGTTACTGTGGAGAATTTTGTTATACACTGTATTTAGGAAAAATATTTCTGCAGTTGTATTAGCCTCTTTACATTTATAGATTTAAAAAAATCAATCTATATATTATGCAACATACTATTAACATGTATATGGTCTCTCCCCTCATTTATACAAATTAAGAGAAATTTCAAGAGTGAAACCAAACAGAACACGGTATAGTACTACAAACAAGGTATTTTCCTGCAGGTATGTATGCTGTTGACTTTGTTAACGGCTAACCAGCTTATGAGTGGTTTCAAAATTCCCACAAATGGGGAATTAAATAAGCTGTAACTGAACATCCAATTTTGGCATCAAATGCAATAAGCTAATGAATTTTTTCATGGTAGTTATATTTTAGTAGAAATATCATTAATCCTATATATTGGTGGCTGTATGTCAGATCCTATTTTAACATTCTGTATCAGTTAAGTAAATATCTAATTTTTTGGAATCTGAAGTGAATTGAACATTTAATGAACTCTAACACCAGGAAGCTCAAAATCTTAAAATCGGAGTGAGATCTGACAGTTAAATCTGTTGTTTGTGAATATCTTGCATCTGCACCATGAAGGTCAGAAACATTCCAGCAACACTCAATTTCTATTTTACCTCTTTTTTGTTGACTTTCAAAGTGGCAACATCAGAGAATAATGTTACCCTCCAAAACTATCCTTACACTATTGTTTCACCTTTAATCACTCTCCATTTCCCCAAAACACAACCTTTAAAAAGACTATTTTAATGTCAGATTCCAGCCTAGGACTACATCTACCTCCTCTATTTTTAAAAAGAAACAATTCCTTAAGAGTCAAAGTAGTTTGATGTCCTTGAAATATTTATGGCGTTGCAGGAAAAAAGCTAATGCCCTGTTGTGCAATAGTATGGGATCTTAACCTGAACCACTGCAATACTGTATACTTTGGGGAGTTATGTACATTTTCCTGGGTAAGGAAGTCCCTAGGACTCATTAGTCTCAAAGGGCCTATAACCCTAAGACTAAAAACAATTACTATAGTGAATTTATGCCTATATACCTAAACCTAATCATTACCCAAACGCCTACAAAAATCTAACTTCAGAGAGTACCATACAAACGCAAATGTTATTAAATGTATTTTACTGGATCAGGAGGACCATGTAAAAAGAAAGGAAAAACTAATTTTTCTAAACATTTAGTTTAATGACAAAGCTATCAGTAGAAACTGGGTTTGGAGCAATGAAAAGAACTGAAGTTTGGGTTTTGTGGTGAAGAAACACTGCATTCGTTTTTCTCAGCTGTTTCTATGTTGAAGGAGCAGTAATTTTTATCATTTTTCCCTTAGTGGAAAAATCAAATTATCTTAAGAAGCAACTGTTGGTTCTTGCAGGTTTATGTAATACAACAGCTCTGAATAATACACAGCTGGGTCCAAGGAAGATCTTCCTATGACTTTAAAAATAATTAAAAGTAATCCTCCTCTATCATCCTCACTGGCATAGCCCCACTCCTCCATCTCCCAAGTTTTCTTATTTTTGGCCCAGTGTTACATAGTATTAATTGGCCTTGGTGAGGTAATATATTAAGTTTTCTTGCTAAAAAATAGAATTGGCCAATTTCAGTTTGGAAAAAGACAGAAAACACTAAGAGGCTAGTCCAGGAAATGAAGCAACATTTCATGCAGGATAAGGGGGGAAGGAAGGGAGTCATTTTATTATCAATTTAAACAACCTTTTCCCCCATCTAATAAAAGTGTAAGTTTTCAACTTCAACTTCAATACATTTGAGGTTTTCTTACTGACACGCTCCTAACCTGCTGGTAACATAATTAGGAAAAGATGAGATCAGAAGCCACGAGTTTAATACATAAAGCAGGTAAAAGGGCAATAATCTGTGTTGAGGTGAACAGAAGCGGAAATGTTCATTTGACAATGAAATGGAGCCTAATGCCTCTCATCATTTCTGCATACAGCATTCTATCAGTAATAACTAACACCTAACTGACACACTATTTTGACCAACAAAACAATACAGTATTATACTCATAACACACAGAAAATGTATTCTTAAATATTTCAAGCATACTCTGAAGTAATGTTTAATTTAAAACAAATACAATCCAAAACTCATGGCCCATTACTGAAAGAAATAAAGTAAACTTAGGCTTCTAAAATTTTAAACTATAAAGAAGTCTTCCTAAATCCTAAAAAAAACCACCCTAACTAATTAGAAGACTAGATGACTAAAAAAATGGTCACCTCACCAGCAGGACCTGCAAGCAAAAGTGTATTAAACTCTTTAAGGCTCCTTAAACCTCAAATGAGTGACATTTATATACTGAAATATTTACATAGTATTTTCTGATACCAAATTCTAACATAATACTATACAAATAGCAATCAAAACATTAACAGGCTTAAACCTCTCAAACTTTATGAATTAAAAGTATACACATCATTAAATGAAAATTAAAACAAAACAAAAAAGAAAACCCTCAACCAATTTAATTTCTTTCGGAAATCACAAACTGAATTCCCATATGAATTTGTCCAGTAAAGACAGGCAGTATAATTATTTTTAAAAATTAAAACATATAATAATGATTTAGCTAATATTGGATATTAGCACTGGCAGTATGTTTTCAAGAACAGTTTTACTTAAACAAGATAAATTTAGCTATATCTATTTTTTAAATGCCTTATACTCAAAATTCACCAAAATTTCCAGGGTTGTAGAATTCTAAGAAATCCATTACTTTTTTCTCTTACTTGCTGCTCTCCAGCAGGAGAGTAAAGGCCATTTGTTAAAGGCAATCAAGCATACTGAAAGGACTTGAGCTTCATCAGTCCAATTTTATTCCTATGCTGAGCAAAATTTTCTTTTGAATGAGATTTTTAACTTTGTGGAAGAAATAAACAGATTTTCAAGTGAATAAAGGAAATACAAATCAGTTCTTTAGGGCAGATACCTGCCTTGTTCAGAAAATGATCTGGCAGACACTAGGTGGACATTAACTATTTTTTTGGATGAGTGATCCAGTTATATTATTAACATACAATATATTATAAATTCTATTCAAATCTAAACTCCTTGAAAGCAAGGACCTATTTATTCATTTCTTTATAGTACAAGATGCTTTGCTGAGAATAGTGTTTTGCAGGTAACTACTCAATACATTTTGCGGAAAAACTGAGTTATCAGCTGAATTAATAATGGTCAAATGGATGATCAATAAAAGTAATGTTATAATTAAGAGCATCTGAATTACATAACTGATTTATTTTTCAATCCAAATTTCTTAATGTTATTTAGTTTAAAAAAATTAAGTGGCGGAAGCAGTACACTAATTGCATAGTGCTCTAGAAGCAAGTTAATGCTTTATAATTAAAAGTGTTCGAAATAGTTCTAAAGCTGAGTAAGAAAAATACCTCTAGGATTTTTACAAGTTAATGATAATATTGAGAATTGATTTTGTTATCTGTAAAAGTATATTCCCTAAGAAAGTAGAAATTAAGAGTTTACCTTGCTAAAACAGTAAGAGATCAGTGAAATTCTTTAATGTTAGGGTAATAAGAATCTGCTATACAAAATGAATCTCCTATTAAAAGCAGCAAAGTGGATTCATCCTCTTAAGACATTTAAATGAAAGCACATTTTGAATAGTATATCATCATCACACATGAACTTTTTCCCTCCAAAGAGAGTAACATACAACACATCAAAACTTTTGAGGCATTGCCCTGAGATGCTAATTATCACACAAAAGGGGGTGGGAAGTCAAGAATTTAAGTGGTACAAAAATGAATTGCACAACAGAGGTGCAAAAATGCCTTTTAAAAGTGCGGTGGGTTCCCTACCACCACAATTATCCCCAGGAATGAAGAACACGTAGTTTGCTGTTATAACGTATAGTTTCTGTGTTTTTATAACGAAAAACTGTATCTAATATGGCAATGCTGACTTATGTGGAAAAGATTTAGTCTTCTTAGATCACACTTCCTATAGTTTTCTCTCACTTCCAAGCCTAATTTCAGTACTAATAACTTTAACAGAGGAATATTTTAACCTCTTTTTTAAGATTCTCAAATTTAAAAAGGCTCTATATATGCTGTTATAGTTTAAAATAAGTTCTATCATATATCTTACTTGTGACTTAAGATTTTTCATTTCAAAAACTAATTCAAGGTTTTGAAATTTCCAGAACTAAAAACTTGAGTCTACTTAAAAAATTAAGGACCTGGCCTGCTGTAACAGGGATTTAGTTTTCAGTACCAGTACATCTGGTAATCAATCTATACTAGAAGCACTGCTGTTTATTAAATGTGCATTTAGATGCTTGCAAAGCCATAACTTGAAACATTATCATACTTCGCACTCTACCACAGATTTAGACAGTAAGCATTTATTTGTAAATTACGTACGGAATTGGTTCTGTAATTCCAACTGTTATGAATTTCTAAATATAAATAGTACTTTTCTTCATTCATGCTAGATTAAGATATAAATTAAATACAATTAAGTTACATATAATCGCCTCATGAATAAGAGGGATAATGAAAAATTTTGCTGGTACGTAACTACTTAAATCTGAGACATTTCACATTACTTTTCCCACTATTCCCCTAACTTTACATTAGTTGTAAGGCAATATATACAAATATGTATATTTCCAAATTATGGAAAAAACAAAACAAAAATGATTATATTACCTTTTATACACAAAGTTTTGATTTTGTGTTCAAATGTCGTATTTTAATAGTTTCTAGTGGGAAATCTGCCTACTGAATGATTAAATTACATGGTGATAAATACAATATTCAACCTAAAGAGACAAAAAATACAGAAGGGCACAGAACAGTAGTCTTTTCAATGTGACAGATTTAAAAACTTACTTTCACATGCTTAATCAGTGGAATTTGAGCCTAAATTAAATTAGGTTATTTTTATATCTATAGTTCTTTAAAACTTTGAAAGTTATTTTTAAAGGCCAACAACTAAATATTATCAACATGCTATATTTCAAATCACAAATACATCTTAACTACTTGGATTCTAAAGACATGGGCCAATTAAAAATCACAGGCAAACACACTCACAAACACACACCACCTACCATAGTGTTAGACTGTCAAGCTCTGACAATTATTTTAATTAAACAGTAGGCAAATTCAAGCTGATACATATCTTTATGAAAAATAAGCAGCCAGAAAGAAACCCATTTAAGAAATAGATCAAGGAACAACAGAGACTTAAATCTTTTAGTCTTGCTAATGTAAGAGAAACAGTTCCATCTATGCCTTGAGTAACAGTATGTTCCAATTAAGAGACTAACATCTTTCCCCATGAGAAACTTCTCACTTACAATGGCATGGTGTTTTAAAAGGGCAAGGTAAAGGAGGAATTACACATACATGATTAAATTTCTTGTTTGTTAAATCAAGCTTTATTGATAAAATGGAATTCAGAATATCTTCCTAGGAACAGCAGCAGGCCCAGCCAATCATGATAGCAAAATGTGGCAGTCTCCTACTATATGTAGGAAGCTGCTGCTTATCAATTAATAATTAAATGTAAGGACTTGTAAAAGAGGTGCAAAGAATCAAGGCATTTTAGCCCCAAGACTGATATTCTTATGAATATACTGTATAACCTGCAATACTCATGGCAACAAGTAGAGAACAACCTAAAAGACAGTTAAATGAAGGGACCAGCTATATCAACAATGCCAATCCCGCTGCCAAGAACATTAAGATAGTTTCTAATTAATTCCCTGGATGCTCGGCTTTATCAGATTTTGGAATTTTTCTCCATAATCATGTGCACAGTTGAGCGTCTAGCTGACATGGTTGCTGCTCTCCCTGTCCCAACCCCAAGATCAAACTCAACATGACTTGAAAGGTCTATATATCTGTTGCATCACACAACAAGCCAAACATTTCTTATAACTTTGATAGTGATTTAAAGCAGTTCATAATTAAATATGAGTATTTTGTACAAGGACAATTACACTTTACAAAGAACAAAATCATACAACAAAAATTGCTGGAGTCTGATTTACAACATGAATTATGGTTTGAAATCACGTTTACATAAGTCTCAAATTTACAAAAAAATAATCAGTTCTGGGCTAGCTGTTGTACTGCTGAAGTTCTCTGGTGTATCACTCTCACCCATGTCATATGCCCTTCTTTAAAGTTGAGGATGGATGTTAAAAGGTTCAATGAAGTTGAGCTGTACTCTCCTTTGGAGGTGAAGGTAAACTCCATGGCTACTTGAGCAGTTTTACCACATATCATCAGTTGATGTAGAGTCCTTTATAAAAGGAAAGAGCAAAACAAGAAGCTAAATTAAAGCTTAGAAGTGCCAAAATACATTATTTTCTGGATAATGCAGGAAGATAGGTTTTGTAAAGCTGACTTTCAGAATATGATTTTTATAGTATATGTGTATGTGTGTATATGAAATATCAATATTTAACCTTTCCAAAAAATTGTTAACCTTTTGTTTTGTAATAAACTACTACTTGAAACATGATTTACCATGAGGTTGACCAAATGTATTTCTAAACCAATAAAACTACTAAAATTTTTATTTTTTCTTCAATAAAACTCAATTTATTTTATTAGAACACTACTTTTATAAACTTTTTATTGTATAAGAGATTAAGACCTCAAATAATATGAGATTTGAGGAGGCTTCATAATGCAATATATAAAATATTTCAGAGCTTGCCCAAATGATTTGAAGTTACCACTTTTCTGTGCAAACCATATTATAAAACAACTGTAACAGGAAACTTAATTAAGAATGGCATTCTAATGTCTATTTACATGAACAGAATTCTCTACTTTAATATTTAATTAAGTATTATGCACTTCCGGTTCTTGGCAAAGGTATTTCCAACCATAAAAATTACTTAAGTGGAGATGGGCATTCTGAAGTTCTGTTGCAGCTGCTTAAAAACTCAGAATAATTCAAGATTCTGAGTAGAGATACTATTCTCAACTTCAAAAAAATGTTTAGTGGAGGCAAACCTGAAGTTGATTGCTTGTAGAGGCTTAAAAAACCCACAATTGCAAAGGGACTTTCTTCTTTTTTAAGAAAGGTGGCCACTCACCATGATTATGTCCTCAATCACTAGAACTGTGGTGCAGGCAGAGTTCAGAGCAATCAATCAGGGGTGTGTGTAAAAGAATGGGTGCAGTGCACAGCTCTGCAAAAACAGGTAGGAAGGATATGCATTTAGAGTGGAGGGGAAGGGAAAGCAGAGGGAACTAAAATGCTACTTACAGTGTCATCGTTTTTGTAAGGATTCAGTCTATTGAAAACGGCTTCAATTACATTCCGCCTAAATTTTAAAAAATGCAGAAAGTTAATTCTTCTTCAGAGCATAAAACTGTTAAATAAATCACAGCCAGGTGTTCATTAAAATGTCAAAGATAATCTTACACTTGGAAATTATTTTAGTTCTATTTCTTGCTGTCAATAAGTGAATCTCACTTTAAGATACTTGGGGCCCAAAGTTAATGTAGAGGTAAATTTACTCTAAAATGTAACATTTCTACCAACCTGATTAATAGAAGACTAAAAAACATGATTTTTAAAAAAAATTTAAAAAATCAGCCTATATGGTCTATTTCTACTTGAACTGGCTTAAGTGGTTCTGAGTAGGCAATGATGATACAGTTCTTAAGATATAATACTAATAATATATTCTGGTTAAAAGTTGAATGTTAGTTTTGAAGTAGAAGGAACTTCAACTTCTGTGGTAGTAAAATAATTTATATATATTTTACATTTAAGTTTGTGTTTTTTTTGTACTACCCCTTTAATACAGCTTTATTAAAACTGAAATGTGGCCCTGGCCGAGTGGTTCAGATGGTTGGAGCGTCATCCCCTACACCAAAAGGTCTCAGGTTCAATCCCTGGTCAGGGGGCATACGGGAGGCAACCAATCGAAGCTTCTCTCTCCTCCTAACAAAAGAAAAAAAAAAATCAATTAAAACATATCCTTGGGTGTGGATTAAAAAAAAGAAAATGAAATGTGAAATATGACATTTCCTTGATAAATCCAAGAATTAGTTTTTGAATAATATTTTGGTAAAAAAAAAAAATCTGTAGTGGGATTTATAAATTACAGCTTCCCTACTTCCAAAATCAATTTGAAATAATTTTATAGACAATCATTTCACAGAAGGTCATAAGGGAAGAAAAGGTTTCCAAAAATAAAAGCTTCAAACAGGAAGTTTTATAATGGCTATTTAGTGAGAGGGATTATAAAGAATATGGCTGCCCTTACAGAATACAGTGGAGAATCAAAGAAACTAGTCAATATATCTTTGTAGGTCAATTATATAGATACCTGAGGTAAAAATGTTTTAAGCTTTAAATTATAAAATGGCATAAAGTCTCCACTTTAGTTTATAAAGATGTTATCTTAATATTTAACACAGGTAAGTCTAGCTCTATGAAATAAAGTGCAAAGAGAAAAAGGCAAGAAATGCAACCTTACACCAAAACCCAACCTACCAGCAATCAACAACTAAAAATACTGGGAAAAGTCAGATGAAAAAGAATGGCCCTGATGGAGAAAGGTGCTAATCTCTGGGGTAAATTATCCAGAGTTTGACAAGATCAAATTATAATAGTAGGAATAATGACACTTAGAACTTTGTAGTGCTAAAAAATTCTTTCACTATATTATCTCATTTATGCTATACAAGGAAATCAATATAATCCAAACCTCCACTAAAGACAGCCTTCAGTGTAATTAGTTAAAAACAGTAACATTCTGATACCTATTCTAAACAAGCACCATATATCATTAATACTGAAAAACATTGAACCACAAATTAAATGTTCTGTAGAGACAGGTAATTGTCTCACTTTAGAAATTAGGTCAATATACATTTAATCAACAAACACCAAACATTTTCATGTACTATACTGAGATAAATCAAAAGGGTGTGCAGAATGTAACTTACTTGCTTGCCAATTCACCTCCTGGTGGGAGGCTGGGGATGTTCTCAGTTGCTAATGTGCGCATCACATGGACTAAGTCAGGGACGCCTTCCCCCTGCTTCTTTATGATTTCTGGGAATCAGAAGTACTTTTTTTGTAAGTGTTATCCAAGTTTAATTTTAAAAAACTGAAACAAAGATAACTTAGGTTTTTAAAGATGGCATTTACCACATCTGAGATTTTCTATACTGGTGTTAAGAAAAAGAAATCAAGTTGACCTTTGAAAATTTATGACAAAGGGATACACAAAATGAAACAACAAATATTTTCCATAATTAATTGCAAAGGATGAAAATAAACAACAAAAATGTAAAAGCAAAAATTTCATGTTAAAATCAATGTATTATATAATCAGAAATATGTGTGTACAAATAAGAATATTCTTCTTAAATGCCAACTAGTTACTTCTGAGATCAACTCCTCTTTAGACTGGGAACACGTTTCCTGAACTTTGCCCTGAAAACACACTACAGATTTTTTTAAAAAAATAAACAATTTCAAGATTTGAAAAATAACAAAGTAACCTTTAAGTATAGGGGAATTTACTGATCATATACTAACGCAAATTATTTTTACATATAATTTTATATTTGTAAAATGATCCATAAGTAACATGTGCAGATTAGGTTAAGTACTCAAACACCATTCTCAGTTTAATTTTTGTCTAGCATATCTTTAAGCGATAAAGAGATATGTAATACCTTTTCCTTAGCTGATTATTTGAACAAAGCCTATAGAATGGGAAAAAAGTCTAAATTTCATAACAAAATTTTTAAAAAGAAAAATGATATATCATACAACTGCATTTAAAATCATTAATTTCAAAATATCCAGTTATTAAATGAGTATAGTGATATGATCTGCAGTGTTGCCATGCAGATGCATAGTTATTCATACCACAGAATACCAACAACTATGTACAAGCAACTTAAAGAACTCTCAAACTATTTACTTTAAGTACAAGAAGTCTTTACTTGAAGTTTTAGCATATTTATGCTAAATGCAAGATCATGCCAAAGGTATTTGTGTAAGTTATATGTTCAAGTTTTGTTCAGTTTTTTGTTTTGTAATGTTTATACTGAGAGATTTTGTCACCTTTGGGGCGAGAAAATTATCATTCTAGTTCTCAATTTGTGAATACCTTTGAAAATAACAATGCATATAAAGATCTTTCATCCTTTGATCAAACCTTAAAATATTAATTCATCCTTAAAGCCACATATTAAAAGACAGACAATACTACCCATATTTCTTTAAAATGGCTCAAACTATCCTTTTAGAATTAAGGCCAAATTTTACCATCTATTATATTTTGCCTTTAAAAAAGAACAGTCTTAAATCTGAACAAAAAGCAAGGATCTCAGATTTGGTTTGCCAAGTTCCTTTATTGTGTAATCTTTAACATCTAGTATATTTATTCTACATGGTTCTAGTGCTGGAAATCTGCTGTACAAAAATAAAGGGATTTGATGTTTACCTAAACTGCACAATTTCACAATCTAAAGCTGTATTACACTTAACATACAGACTCTGCTAAGCCAATACAATTATTGGATAGATAACTAGACATAATAGAAATGAACACTGATGATATATTCAATCAATGATGGTTTCAGGTCTAAAAAACATTACCTTGAATCATCTGTTTGATGTATCTTACATCTCCATTGTTAAAATATAAATAAGGGTATTTTAGTGGTGAAGAAAATTACAGGAAGACAAATTCTTAAAAAAAGAATTTAAGACTTTAAAAACTGTTAATACTGCCTATTCCACATGGGATAATACATTTAAACTACCTGGCCATTAATACTACACTAGCCTTGCTTCTTTCTGCTTTTAAAAAATAAAAAGAATTTTAATAAGTATTCCTTTAATTGTTCTTGGACTATACATTTTAATTAGAATTGTAAAAAGCCTGAATGCCTTTATTGAAGAACACATATGTACAGAAGATAGATGTTTCACATACTCATATATAAACACATTCTGCTCCTCCCCATTTCCCTTTACCAAGTCTGAGGGATTCTAGCAGTTATCTCCAAATTAGCAACTTTAAAGCTTGGGTAGTCAGTAGCAAAGATTTAAAAAGTACCTACATACAAGTATAATCTTAAATTGGCTTAGAAGGGCCACAGCTTTAGGCAGTATGGTTTAAATTATGAGCTGAATCTTTTCACAACCCAAGAGACAAGTTTTAGAAGGGCACAGATAATAGTAGGAAAGCTGAAAAACCTCTGCTCTTTTCTGCAATGTAGACAGAAAAGCCAAAAGTATTCAAAACAATTAAAATGAAGTTTAGCAGGTCACAATAATTTACCAAAGGCACGTATTTATAGAAAAAAAGAAGAAGGTATTCGGTGTCTGTTTTAGAAAATGTAGTATTTTTCGCTTTTTAAGACATACCAACTTTTATAATGCAAATAGTTACATTCTTTCTATGTTTTTAAATATAGTAGTGGTTTTAATTAATGTAATACTTATTTTCCAGTTGCAGTCTCATCAAATCTACCTTAGTATCACATAATAATCCCCAACTGAATGGTACAAGTGTAGCACTACAACATATCAAAAACATTGAGTATTAGTGTAAACGGTTCAGGTCGCAATTCTTGCTCAATAATAAACAATATAAAACTTAATAGTGTAACATAAAATTATGTATCTAAAGCAATTATTTAGAATTGCATCAAAAACTTAAGCGTGCATACTAAAAAGAAAAGTAGCAATTTACTTCTAAAATTTGATCCCATTTCATAGTAAGTAAAACTAAAGTACTTATTCTTGTTTCTTTAAATTAGTAAGAAAACATATATGCCCAAGTTACTTTAATGTGCTAATAAATTAAATATCAACTAATCCCAAAATATATTCTTCTTACGGCTTCATACTTTTCCACCTACCAGCAGTTTAAACCAATATGATATGACTTGGTACCATTCTAAATATTTTATTTTACTGTATTATATATAAATAACTTACATTGAAATGATTCACTTAAAATGTAAAAATTCTAAGACCCTTGGTGAGGAAACAAACTCATTGAATAGTATGTCCAATGAATGAAATACTAAACAGTACATACACACAGTACTAAATATATCACTATCAAGTGGAGAACTATAAAAACATAATAGCAGCTCTAGATAGAACCACAAATCAAAACCAATCATGATTCTAACATCAGATTGATTATAATTGATATCAAACAGTAAAAAGGGAGAAAACAAAATTAAAGTGCAGATTTATTTTAATAATGCAGGCACGGCAGCATATAATAGTGTGGTAGGTCAATGCTTACATGCTATTAGAGGTCTTTAATGCGCAAATTAATGACATTGGGAGTGCAAGATGCTTTTTACTGCTATTATAGGTGCGTCAAGTTTTTCTGCTTAAAGAAACTGCATAATTTACATGCTTATGGCATATATGCAGTAAACTGGAATTCTCTGAGATTTAATATTTATACCAAATAGTAACTGCATTAAGGATCATTTAAATTTTTTCAAATATTTAAAGGCATTACACTTGAAAGTTACAAAATCTTTCTAATTGTCTCAAAGTAATTTGCAGAATTCTGACAAATACACTCCTGGAATTCCAAACTTATTTCTTAATTATATTCAGCATTTACATCTCTGCCAGGTAGAGACCTAATATGTCTTCTATTCAAGGTCTTTGTTTCCAGGTGTGGCAGTTTATGACTGTGGCAAGAAAGCCTTAAAACAGTTTAAAATAAAAATTTTAAAGTGGTGGCACATGAAAGTTTAATAACCAGGCTGTGATCTTCAAGTTATTAAAAAAACAAAACTCCTAAAGATCTTAAATTCATATACACAACTTTACAAAGATGGCAATCAAATTATCACCATCATAAATAATATGTTTATAATTAAACCACAAATCAGACTTTCCTGGCATAAAATTAATCATGCCAGTGAATTCATCAAGAATTTTAAAGCATACAAACACTTGAGCCTTTTTAAACAAAAGTATCCTGAACAGAATGTACAGGGCCACACCGGTTGTTATTTCTAGTATAACTGTGATAAAAACAATCACAAACATCTAAACAGCTACTACAGAAATGCTCTTTCTCACTAAACACTAGATGTCAAAGGCATGTAAAGATATAAAAGCTAAAATGTTAAAGTTTGTGTTGAGGTTTTTCTTTAATAAAGCTACTTATTTTTTGTTAAATGATCCACCTTCTACTCTGCTTTCCAGGTACTTGTCCAACTCTGCCTCCTTCTTCACTGCTTCTGGCGATACTTTGGGTGCATTTGGGAAACAGATCAATATCACACTCATGTTGTCTCGACTTCCCTGGGAAGAAAAAAGTTTGAGAAAATATTTTGGTTTTCTTTTTGCTCTTGGAAGCCTTGAGAACATTTACAGCCATTGCAATTATAAATATATTTGTTTTAGTGAAAACATAAATTGTTTTTAAGGAGAAAAACACACATGTGAAAAACTACACATGTGAAAGTTACACCTCTCCTAACACATATAGCATATATAGTACACAGTATAACCAACACTATAAAAGACAGGATTGAAGCCCTACAGGTTTAATTCCACTGCAACATCATTTTAAAAAATTCTATAAAACAAAAATATTTCTGAACATTTACTGGTGGCCTACTCAACTTGAAGTGATACCTAAAGACAAACACACATATACACAGACATTCATTTAATTCAACAAAATGGTAAATTCCAGTGGTATTCCTCAAACAGGATTTGACCTGTAGCTACATGTATACTTGACAAATTTACATTTAAAATAAATGGTGGGGCTAATTAATTTGCTTAAATAGACATAGAATTGGAAGTAAAACTACATATATAAAGTTTATAAACCAGCTTTTAACTTTCATAATTCAAAAAAATTGACAACTTTTAGAAAGCACATTCATTTTTAAATACACCTAGGTATTCAAAATGCTGTAATTAAAAGATTTGAATCGATATTGGACACCCCATACTTCCCCTTCCTATTAGTAATTGGAGTTAACATTTACATTTTAAATATTTAACTTCCACTATATGGGAAAATTGACCTTATACCATTAGTTTAAGCAAACAATACAAAGAGTTTAATAATAAAAAATCTTGGGGGAACTGTATAAAATGTGGCAAAATGATATGGTATTGAATAATTTTTTTAAAAAAAGAATAGTTTTTTAAAAAAAGGAGAGAAGAGAGAAACACTTACGTGAGAGCACAACATTCATTGGGCTGCCTGTGCGCCCCCTACCAGGGATCAAGCCTGCGACCCAGGCATGTGCCCTGACCAGGAATTGAACAAGCAACCTTTTGGTGCACCAGATGATGCCCAACTGAACCACACCAGCAAGGGGTGAATAATTTTAAAAACAGAGTAGAATACAGAAGAGAAAAACTGGAACCTGAGCCATAATCTACCAATATCTGAATCTGACAATTCTTAGAAAACAAAGAGCTTTTAATTTAGCTAACATACTTAATTCTCAAGTGCTACAGAAAAAAACCAACAAATAGATTCTATTTATGCATACTAAAAGGGACAAAGAACATGTGCATCACCCCAAATTCAGAAATCAACAGTGTACACTAAGTTGTGGCTCTATTGATTTTTTAAACTTAAGTGTTGAATGTTACATAAACTTGATTTGTGTTGGATGTTACATAAAACTAGTTTTAATTAAGATTTTAAATAGAGTTGGCAGTGTGCATATAAAACTACAAAGAATATTGACTTTCTATTTCTGCATGTTAAAAGAAAATCAAATATATAGCCTTAGAAGAGTTGTACATAATCAACATTTGTGTAAACAATCAAAGAATTAGTCAAGGAGCATTACTGACAAAAGAGAACTGCGGTAGAAAGAACACTAAACCTAAGTCAGGGCTTAGACTCTGGCCTTAGTGCTACCAGAGAGGTAAATTGTATAACCCTGTAGAAGTCATTTTTAACTTCTCTAGGACAGGGAGCAGCATGTGTCCAGTAAACACTATTTGCTAAACTAGGCACTTCATATGTATACATTAGCTCATTAATTTAGATCCTTAACAGTCCTGAGTTAAATACTATTATCTCCATTCAATAGCTAAGACAGGTTGAACAATTTGTTCAATACTCTACAGTACAAATGTAATAGAGGTAAGCCTTGATTCCAGGTCTGTATGACTTTTAAGTCACAGAGCCTTCTCTGGTTTCAGCTTCCTCTGTAAAATAAAGGTGCTGGACTGGCTCATCTACATACACAATCCCATCTGATCATTCCAACAGCCCCACGAGACAGTGTATTAATATTTCTTACCTTTTTTACAATTAAAGAAACTCATTTTCCAGATACTTTAGCTTACCTAAAGCCATACAGTCTTATAACAAGTTCTTCTGACTCTACGTCCAAAACTGTATTACATCACACCAACTGATCACTAAATTCTCCTTGTTGGTGCTACAGATTCATTAGGCCAGTCTCAAAGCACTAAGTGTACTGAAATATCACATGGTAAAAATATTAAAATTGGAAATACTTTTCATTTACAGACACTGAGGCCTAACCTCTTGCTATCCTTTTTTTAAAAACATGCGCTTTTATATAATCTTTTTACCTTGGACAATGCTACACAATATTAAAAAGTTCAAGTTAGTCATGGTTACTAAAAGACTAAATATTCATATTATAATTCCTGCATATTTGGTAACGGGGTAATTTATTTATATAAAGTGTTCCTATGTTTCATAACTGGTGAAGTGTATCCTGCAATTATGCCAAAATCTTATTTTTGAGAACTACCAGGTTCTAAGATGATTAAAAAAAAGTCTAGCTACCTTATACAAACAGGTGTCGACTACTTCATTGCAAACTTTCTCAAGGTCATCAGTGACTTCAAGTCTGGATCTTACAAAATCACAGAGCTCTTCATTTCCCATAACATCCCAGATACCATCACATGCAAGGATAATGAACTGATCATCTTCTTCAGATCTTTCAATATCATGGACTTCAGGCTCTGGTGAGACAAGCTGCTCTGTAGGACCTTTTCCATGGACACACTTGTAATCAAAGTCCCCAAGGGCCCTTGATACAGCCAGAGAGCCATTCACACGCTGAATCATTACAGAACCACCTGCATTCTGAATTCGTTCTTTTTCCAGCGGATTACTTGGTTTGTGATCCTGTGTGAAGAAGTGAACTTTCCTGTCCCTACAAAGTAAACCTCTTGAGTCTCCACAGTTAATGAAATAAGTATGTTGAGGAGAAATTAAGACACCCACAGCTGTTGACCCACTTCTATCTGCGCCATGTTTCTTCTCTGACATAACTCTCATGTGTTCGTCAATCTCCAGAAAACCTGTTCTGATTCCATTCTTTACATTTTCCACAGAAGGTGCTCCTGCAGACCCTTTAAAATCCTGGTTATTGGTGATGTGATCTAACAAATGCTCACAGCAGTATTTGGCAACCTGAGAACCAGCATGCCCATCATACACAGCAAAGAATGACCATGTTTCAAGTCCACTTGGCAAACCAATCACAGCTGTATGTGCATCCTCCATTTCAACTCGCCAGCCTTGCATGCTGCTTAGCCCATATCGCAACCCATTACCCTGCCCCTGGGCATTATGTTTTTCCATCTTTGGCTTGTCTAAAAATGCTCCCATTATGTCTTGATCCTTTAGTTCTGCAAAGAAAGAGAAATAAGAAAGTTAACTATTTTGTAAACAAACTACATATCCAACAACCTTTTTAAGAGTGAAGGAAATACAAAGCTAGCTTTCAATAAGGATTCACAACTCTTGTGATAAGCAGACACTCATTGTATCACTATTGCTTACTTGGAACCTGGAGATCAACAAGGAAGAACTGGGGGAAATGACTGATCAGGAACAGCTAAGTGGACACCAGGCAGAGAGAACTAAAGCACCAGGATAAAAATGGCAGATCCGACCCTCTTCAAGGCATAACCACTAGAGGCAGAAAGAAGACTTAGCAGTAGCCATCAACTTTATACATAAACTAGGCCATGCCACATGGTTAAGGATGCACTAAACATGTCTAAGAACTAAGTTGTATGTGTATGTATTGAGAAAAGCTAAGTGAATTCACAGGATATACTAAAAGCCTACTAACTCAAAAATCTTAGTGGAACATTAAAACATTCCAAAGTTTGATCCCAAATTACCTAGTTTTATTCCTATTCCATCAACCCTCTGAAAAAGTAAAAAGTGATTTACTCACAAAGGTTCAAATCTGCATGCTCTTTCCTTTAAGCCTTTGCTCATGTCAGTCCCCTTGACTGGAGTCCCTTGCCTGTCCTCCCTACTTATAAAAAAAAAAAAGCATACTCATCCTTTAAAGTCTACTTAAATTCTACCTTTTCCATAGGTTTTTTCAGTCTTTGATATAGCTAGTAAGTTATTAAATTACCATAAGTGGTCTAACTTCAAATTTCAAGTTGCAAAGCAATTATACATACATATAACAAAGCTTATATATAACAAATCAATCTACTGGTATTCTATTAATCTAGTGTTAATAACATGTATCATTATTATTGTACTCCATGATCATCAGGTATAAACTGTAAAGGAGATGAAAGGGTCTATGGACAGCCCTGTGGAAAATCCTGAAAGTTCAGCTAATCTAATCCTTTAACAATAATCAAAAGCTAAAACACCTGGTCTGGAATGGACCCACAAAAAGCAAGCAGACAGTTGGTCAGGACTGTGGTTGGCCTTTACTTGAGCAATAGCCTAGGAATGTAGAGACTTGGGGTCTAAGTCATCAAATGAGTCATAACTGAACACAAAGTAATCTGAAAAAATGATAGAATGAGATTTAATGGAGATGAAGGAGAGATGGGTAGTAGGGAGTAGGAACGGGAAAAAGTACCTAGGTAAATCAGGATACAGTTATGAGACTAGGGGATTAATGATGTTGGTGATGCTAAGTTCTGAGAAGCTAGGAGAAGGGAAGAAGAAAAACGAAAGAAATAGTTTACCAGCAACCTCTTCCTATTCCTTTTCCTACTAGGGTCAAACTAATACACAGGCAGAGAAGTCTGGCTGACTGGTCCAATAAAATAATCTCCTGCCTACTCCTCTGCCCCCTATAATAATTCCACTAATGGAAGGTAAATAATGAAAACTAGTCATCTTCTTACATTGGTATTCATCATTACCATTCTGATAACTGAGTTGATACACATTATGGCAAGGGTGAGTATTTTCACTGAACAAAGATTAACATGATGACACCTTAATGGCATTAAGAATTCTAAAAACTCCCAGTGTTTTACAAGCATTATCTCACTCATTCTCAACAACTCTTTAAATTATATAATAACATTATCTCCAATTTATAGATGAAGAGCCTTAGTGATACTAAAGAACTTGGTCAAAGTCATTTAACTGACAAATTTAGAGGAATCAGCACTCTATTTCAAGCCTGCCTGACTCAAAAGCACCATTCACTACTAAGGCAATGGTCTACAAAAAAATTATCTGTGGACCTTCTGAAAACGTAGGTATCTGAGGAAAAGATTAGATGAAACGCCTAGATAGGTAGGTAGGTAGATGATTGGGCCAGGTGAAGGTATGTCATCTGCTGAAGGTAAATAGCAAGTTGCCTTATCTCTGGTACCTTGATTCTTTTAGCTGGCTAAAGAGAAAGGGAAAGGTATATTTAAGATGCTTGATGCCTACTAATGTAGCATTCCTTATCTGTACAATGGGCATATTAATACTTACCTCTGAATGCTGCTTCAAGATTTAAGTGAGGTAATGAATGCAAAGTAGACATATAGAGTCTGACAAAAATTAGGCACTCAGAAAATGGAAACTAAGCATTACTACATTCCTATACACATAGGCACACCTAGTGTCAGGTAATTCTGATTATTGCCTAACAGGGTCCCGACTGTGTCTTTTATAGAAAAATACAGCAGTTATTTTCTAGATATACATACGAAACTACCAAACAAATAATTCTTTAAAGATAAACAGGGTACACTTCCTAAAAGTAAAACCCAAACTTTTGAAATACATATATTAGAAATGTAAAAATGTAACAAAGTCAACCATCTGATAAAATTTTAGGTCCAGCTCAATAGCAAATGTAAAATATAGTCATTGGCAAATTAATTTTGTGGTTGAACTTGAACATACTGGAAATAGGCGATTCAGAAATCTTATCTCCTGGGATTCTGAGTAATTTGTAGAACTATAGCTACATAAATATGGCAGGTAGTTATGTAAATATAATACTTGCTAGACATTATTTACTTATAAGTGAACTACTAAAGAACATTTTATGTAGTCAAATTATTAAATTGGCATATATTTATAAATAGTAGACCCCCCAAGGAGATTCAATTTGTCCATGAAAGTTTAAGTTTCTGAGAGAAATTTTAGTTCTCACCCAATCTTAAATCTACTCTGAGCACATGGTGGGTCTCATCAAAACACTAGCATTATCAGTTGATCGAACTTTTCAAAATGAATTCAATAATGATACAACCAGAAAATTTGGTGGGCATTTTGATCTTTTAAAAATTTAACTCCCAAATTGAAAAATTGTAAGGCTGGGCCAGAAAGTCATTCATTGCCCTGGCTGGTGTGGCTCAGTTTGTTGGAACACCATTCCTTGCACTGAAAGATACTGGGTTTGATTCCCAGTCAGGGCACATACCTAGGTTGCAAGGTGTATACGGAGACAACTGATCAATGTTTCTCTCACATCTGTTTCTCTCTCTTCCTCCCTTTCTCTCTAAAATCAATAAACATATCCTTGGGTGACGATTTAGAAAAAAAAGTGAAAATCAATATATTAAATATTCAAGAAGTGAAGAGTACAAACACACATACACACAAAACCTAAGGAAAGCTGAAGAAGTGTATTATGAAAAATTAAGGTAAATAAAACAAATTATATGAGAGAAAAGTGAGTAAAATAGGTAAATCACTAGTTAGCCTAATTGAGAAAAACACTACTATTAAAATTGGAAACTAAACAGGCTATACTTACCTCACAGATAGAAAGGTGTTTTATTTCTTGTTATATATTTTATAAAACACTGTGCAATTCTTTGCTAATAAATTTGAAAACATGAAAGAAACTGACAATGTCCTTGGAAAACAAATTATCAATTTTTTTTCAAGAACTGACAGCATATTAAGACCTGTAACTCTGGAACAAAATGAAAAAGTTATCAAAGAACTATCCCTCAAAAAGAGCTCCAGGGTTAATGAAAAACAAGAAGACTGAAGAACCGCCCTGGCTGGTGCTTCTCAATGGTTAGAGAGTCAGCCCATGCACTGAAGGGTTTCGGGATCTATTCCTGGTGAAGGGCACATACCTGGGTTGCAGGATCATTCCTGGTCCTGTCAGGGACATGTGGAGGAGGCAACCAGTCAATGTGTCCCTCTCACATCATGTTTCTCTCTCTCCTTCCCCCCTTTCCCCTCTCTAAAAATCAATGGAAAAATATCCTCTGGTGAGGATTAACAACAACAACAAAAAAGACTGAAGAACCATTGCAGGTTAAAGAAAACCATAAAGATATTACAACAAAGTGTAATGTGTGATTGTGCACTGGCTTATATATATATTTGTGTGTGTAAAGAGAATATACACATGCATACAGAGAGGGGAAAAGAAAGTTTATAAAACAAATGTGGCAAAATGCTAACAATGGTTGGTCATTAGGTTTGACTGTCCTTCCCCCCCAGCCCCAAATTTTCTGAAAGTTTAAATTACTTTCAAAATAAAGTCATTAAAAATAAAAGTGCATTGGGCAAGACAATTTCATAACCAAGACCTTTCAAGCCATAAAAGAAATATAACTTCCAAATTATCTAAATTACCTAGAACAGAGAAAAAACTTCCCACTTCTTTTAACAAGCCTACCATAATCCTGACATAAAAACTGACAAAGATAGCACTAACAAACCTATAATCTAAACACAGTCATTAACACAGATACAAAAAACCCTAAGTAAAACACATTACAAATCACCAAGTAGCATTTATTTTAGGAATTAAACTATGAGCCAACATTCAGCAACCTATTAATGTCATCTTTTAAAAAGTTCAAAGAAGAAACACCATACTATCATCTCTTCATATGCTAAAAGGGATCTGATAAAATTAATTCTGTAATACATATTTCAAGCCAAACAGAAAGCATAGTGATTAGAACAATTGCCAGAAAACAAGGATACCTGCTCTTATCCCTATTATTTAGCAATGTCTAGAAACAGTGATCAATGCAGGAAGTCAAGATTTTTTTAAGAGGTATAAAATTATGAGACGAGATCAAACTATTATTTGCAGATAACGACTATATGATGGCAAACTCAAAATCTAAAACATAATTAGGAATAAAGAAAGTTCAATAAGGTTACCCTATTATAGAAATAATAACAATCACTTAGAAAATATAAGTATATCTAATTTTTGTTCCCAAATCTTGATTCCAAATTCATATGAAAGAATGTTTGAGAATAGCCAAAAGAGTCTAAAAACATGAGAATTTGCCATATCTAATGTTAAAACAATTTAAGAGGGAATTGATCAGTGAAATAGAACTGAGAGTCCAGAAAGAGAACTATAAAAACAAAAATTCAATAAATGGTGTTAGAACAGCAGACCTACACTCCTGCCCTCCTATGGAGGGTAGCTGAATCCCTATCACACATCTTAAAATAAATATCAGGTGACCGAAGATTTAAGTTTGAAATACTAATAAACCATGCAAGTATATCTAGGCAGGTATTTCTATAATCTTATGGTAGAAAAGGACTTGATTTAATATAAGTACGACATCAATGGCAAAAACGAAAAGACTGACTGCAAAGGAATAAAAAGTGACTCCAGAGAATAAAACCCCTACACTATAAAACAAAGCTCATAAACTTGAATGGTATTTTTAAATAAGTATCTGCAATATATATAATAAAGACAATATTCCTAAAATAGACAAAAGGCTCCTATAAGACAATAAAATGAACAACTGAAAGGAAAAGAACTGGGCAAAGAACAAGAACAGGCAATTCAATTCATAAAAAAATACAAATGGTAATAAATATGTGGAGCAATGACTACCAATCTCACTAGCCATTAAACACAAATGTTTTTATATATTACTTTATCAAAAATTCAAAATTTATTAATACCCACTATTGGCAAAGTAGTAAAAATATACCCTTTTTGTAGGTAGGAGAGTAAACTGGTACTTTTCTGAAGGATATGTAGGATACACATTCATCTTAAATGTTGACTTCCATTTAAATATTACATATTTACACTTTGAAGTGCTCCTGTTTCAAATGTATTTAAAAAATAGGTTAACTATAAAATAGAACATTAAAAGACTGAGCCACCTGCTAAAGATAAACTCTTAAAATACAAAGTACTTTGTGAAGCTGAAACTCCTGGGCTCAAGTAACAGCGATGGACAGAAAGTCCACATACAGAAGGGAACAGTAACAGGGACTAACAATGTCCCTGTGAAAGGCTGGTATAGACCTCAAGTTCACTGAAGTTATGTGCTCAGATCTTTTAGCCTGTGTCCTGAAGAGATATGGCTAATCTTTTTTTTTTAATTGAATTTATTGGGGTGACATTGGTTGGCAAAACCATATAGGTTTAAAGTGTACAACTCAACAAAACATCATCTGCACACTGCATTGTGCACCCATCATCCCAAGTCTCCTTCCATCCCCATTCCCGCCCTACCTTGGCCCACCTCCACCTCCACCTCCACCTACCCCTCCATCCCCCTTTCCTTCTGGCTATCAGCACACTGTTGTCTGTATCTATGTGTTATGTATATATATTTTTTGGCTACTCCCTTCACCTTTCACCTAGGCCCCCCTCCCCCCTATAGCTGTCAGTGTGTTCCATGTATCCATGCCTCTGTTTCTATTTTGTTCATCAGTTTATTTTGTTCATTTAGATTCCCCACATATAAGTGAGATAATATGGTATCTGTCTTTCTCTGACTGTCTGAGATAAGCCTAATCTTGATGTTACCAAGAATCAGGGGAACCAAGCTTTCAACATAAGACATGGTTTCAGACTGGACACCCACGCCAAGGCCAAGATGCAAAAACATCAGATAAGAAGGGTGAAAAGAAAGAAAACAAAACTAATCATTTGTTTAATACGAGACTGCAAAACCAAACTCCAACATACATGAGAAAAACTAAACTAAGATGGAGAGCCAATAAAATCAACCACTGTAGGAATTCAATCTAGAAGGAAAAATAGCCCTGGCCGGGTGGCTCAGGTGGCTGGAACGTCATCCCGTACACCAAAAGGTTGCAGGTTCCATTCCTGGTCAAGGCACATACCTAGGTTTTGGGTTTGGTCCCCAGTCAAGGTCGTACAGGAGGCAGTCTACTGATATTTCTCTCTCACATTGCTGTTTCTCTCTCTCTCTCTAAAATCAATAAAAACATATCCTAGGGTGAGGATTAAAACATAAAAATCAAGAAAGAATAATTTGTGAATAATTTATAATGTGTATGTTTAGGATCCTCCCAAAGTAAAAAAGAACAGTAGACATGAAGGGAAATTTTTTTACAAGTCAGAAATCAAACCAGAATAGGTAGCTGTTAAAGAGAAACAGAGAGACAGAGAGAGAACGTGAACAGGAGAGAGTCACTGAGAAACAAAACAACTGAGGCCACATAAACTCCAGATGAACAAAAATCAAGGTGTAAATTAGTAAATTGGAAAATAATGCTTAAGAATTGCCTAGAACACAACACAGAAATTAAGAAGAAATACTGGAAAAGCAATATTCAAAGACATGAAGGCTAAGGAATTTTCTAGAACTGAGGAAAAAGAGATGAGTCTTCAGATCAACAATATACTTCGAAGAGTACCCACAGATAATACAACATACACATACTTAGGATTATGGGAATGTGTTTGGAACATAAAAAATAAGACAAACAAACAATAAATACTAACATTTATATCACACTTAAAATATGTAGGGCTCAGTCCTAAGTGCTTTACATATACTAACGTAATCATCACAACAACCCCTATGATACAGATACTATTTCATTATCTCTGTTTAGACTTGACCAAGGTTTCATAGTAAGTAGTGGTGATAGGATACAGAATAGGAATAAAAAAGAGACGAACTACCAGAGAGAAAAATTATATACAAAGGCATAACAATTACGTAGAGACCAGACTTCTCAGAGATCCAACTCTGCCAACTTTCATAATATATACAAATGAAATATCATCTTGAGGGTGCTCATAGGAAGAGGGAAAAGCCTATTAACCAAAAATTCTTTATTTGCTTTAAAAAGGAAATTATAATGTGTAAAATATACTTTCAGACAAAAACTACCATACTCTGTCACTAATAAGATTACTAAAGGATACACTTTAGCAAGAAGAAAAGTGAACCAAGGAGTGTCATACAAGGAACAGTAAGTACTATAGAAACTGGTAAAATATAGTTGATTACATTAGGTGTTAGCTAGAAAAAAACTTTTATGTTACAAAAAGGGGAAATAAAATTGTTGGTAATTATATAAATGATGGAGGAATGTTTATTAGTGTTTAATCAAGTATGAGCTTATAAAAAAAAAGATACAAGGAAACAAGCTGCCATGAGTAGGAGTTAACACATAATAAGTATCCCTTAAAACTTCATGTAACTGGAAATAGCAAACATAAG